TTAAATGCCATCAACAACCCCGTGGGTCGGGCTTTAAACCATCAACAACCCCGTGAGTCAGGCTTTAAACCATCAACAACCCCGTGAGCCGTGCTTTAAATGCCATCAACAACCCCGTGAGTCGGGCTTTAACATGAGCGTACAGCTAGCTAGCTAGCTGCATCAGCGGCGCATACTCTCGCAATTGTCATCCAGCCCCTTCGTTTGAGACGTCTCAACGATTGTCATCCAGCCCCTTCTCTCCTCTTTCTCCCCTTCCATCCCCTCGCTCCCGTTCCTCCCGCTCCCGTTCCTCACTCTCCCTCCCATTCCCTTCCCTCCCATTTCTTCCCATCCCAATCCCTTTCCCCCTTGTGCTCTCAGGACACGGGCTACATGCCTCTCAAGCTCGGCAGCAGAGTAGCTCTCATGGTGAACAGGTATGGTGAACAGGTGTGTTTTAGAGATTTTCAAAAAATCCCTGCAGCTCTCATGGTGAACAGGCATGTTTGTTCATGATAACATGTATGTTTGTTCATGAACAGTTGTGTTTGTTCATGAACAGTTGTGTTTATTCATGAACAGCTGTGTCTGTTCATGATTGCCGCATCGCCGTCCTCGCTTGTGTTCCCCCATTTCCCCCCCCTCTAGTCTGAGCGCAGCGCTGCTTCAGCCAAGTGTACTCTCTCTGGTGTCCCCATTTCCTCCGCTCCCTCTTCTCTCCACCTCCCCCGTCCTCGTCCCCCGCCCTCCCCCTTCCCCATTCCCCCAGCCTGGGCGCAACGCCAGCTATTGCAGCAGGCAAGGCTGTGCCACAGCTTTCCCCCCACCTCCCCACCTCTCCCCCACCCCCACCCCATCCTCTCCCCCCTCACCACCATCCCCCCAGCCTGGGTAATATCAACCATGGAGGTTATGGTTGCGGCAAGCAAGGCTGTAGCACAGCCACCTCCCCTTTTCTCCAACCCAACGTTCCGATCCCCCCACCCCCACCCCCCCCTCTCCCCTTCCCCTCGTGCTCCCTCCCCTTTCTCCCCAAGCCTGGGCGCAACACCAGCCATGGAGGTCATGATTGCGGCCGGCAAGGCTGTAGCGCAACTACAGGTGAGGATGATCTTTTTAGGTGCGTCAGAAGCAGGCAAGGCTGTAGCGCAACACTCGTTGTCCTAGAACACGAGTTGATGGAAGTAAGGCCTCCACAGCCCACCTGTCCGCTATTGACAGCTCCTGCAAACAGTGCCGCTACCTCTCACTTACGAGCGATTTTGAGAATTCTCATAAGCGCCGCTACCACTCACTTACGAGTGATTTTGAGAATTCTCAAAAGCGCCGCTACCACTCACTCACTCTGACACTCTGTATGTAACTCTCTCTGTCCGCGTCTGCCTGCACAGCATGTCTCTGCACCCATCTACACCGATAATCACGCCCATGTACACCTCTTCACTGCTCTGTACCCCACTGCACCCCTCTGCAACCCTCTGCAACCCTCTGCATCCCTCTGCACACCTTGCGCTTGCATGCACCATGGAAGGTGGAGCATGGGCTGGCAGTGGAGCGAGTGTATGCAGGCCATTTCATGACTTCCCTCGACATGTCAGGTGCTGTCAGGTGGTGTCTGATGCTGTCAGGTGGTGTCAGGTGGTGTCAGTTGGTGTCAGGTGCTGTCAGGTGACAGGCTCTGCCGCAGACACACAGGCACCTGAAAAGCCTTCCTTCATATTCGCTGACTTGGTTTGACTTTGGTTGACTCGCTTTGACTCTTCTGTCAACCCTGTCCAGTATGCTTGTTCTTTTGTTCTTCTTGCGCCTCTCCCACAGGCCTCTCCCTCTCAGTGCTTAAGGTGGACGATCAAGTGCTGCAGAGGCTAGACGCCCCAACCCAACCTGCACCCCTATGTTTGTTTTCTTGCATTTTTTCTTCCGTTGATTGCCTCTGTCCCTGCCACAGGCCTCTCCCTCTCAGTGCTCAAGGTGGACGATCAAGTGCTGCAGCGACTAGACGCCCCCACCCTCGCCCCTGCATGGCCCAACGCCTGCCAAGGTGGGCTCCCACGCATGCCTGAGTTGAATGCGCCAGCCTATACATTCCTCTTCACACCAAGAAGGGGTTTGAGACTCTGAGACTCCTGGAAATAACTCGGATGAGAGAGGAGAGAGTGCGCAAATTCCCAAGCTCCATATACATTTGCGTGAGAGAGGGTGTGAGGGAGTGCATGGGAGTGTGTAAGCCACCCTTCTCAAGACACCCTTCTTTCTCTCTCCACTCACTATCTCTCTCACCATTCCCCCCTTCCCCTCCTCCAGGTGCCCGTCCAGCTACCAAGGTGCCAGTGCCACTCCCCCCAGCCCCACCAGGCTCTCAACCTGTACGTTTCCCTCCATCCATCCTGGCCTTCTGCTATGAACAAGTGCTTTGAGACGTTTTTTATAAGACGTCTCACAAACGACTGCGATGCCCCCCGTACCTTCCGTACTACCTCCATGCTCCCCATGCCGCCATCCATCCCGCTTTCCCCCCCCCCCCCCCTCCCTTCCCCCTCCCTCTCCTCCCAATGCACTTGTGATCCCACCGTCTTACTACCACCCCACACCCTTATGCCTCACATGCCGCCCACATCCCGCATACCCCGTGCCCCACCCCTTCCGCACCCCCCACAACCCTCCAACACCCCCCCAGTCAACAGAGGAGCGGCGGGGCGGTGCCTGGGAGGCGCATTTGAGGGGGCGCTCAGGCTGTTCTGGCTCTGGCAGTAACGGCAAGCTCGGAATGATGTGACTTTTGAGTCGACTCAAAAGTCACCTCAATTTGAGGGGGGGCTCAGGCTCTAATGGCTCTGGCAGTAACGGCAAGCTCGGAATGATTGCTATAGAACACGTGTGCCCCACCCACTACCCACTCCGTTGTGCCCACATGCCCCCGCACCGACGCCCCTCCCCCCACCCCGGAGGCATCAGCATGTGAGCGTCCAAAAGGAATCAACAGAGGAGGGGCGGTGCCTGGAGCGGTGCATCCGAGGGGGCGCTCAGGCCGTGCTTGAGTGCATGGAATGACACACCTCTCCCCCATAACCCCCATGCTCCCAAAACCCCCTCGCAACCCCCAGGCATCAGCATGTGAGCGCCCCAAGGAGTTGACAGAGGAGGGGCGGTGCCTGGAGCGGTGCATCCGAGGGGGTGCCCAGGCCGTGCTGGCTCTGGCAGTAGACTTGAATGCGTGGGATGACACACCTCTCACCCATAACCCCCATGCCCCCACACCTCACCTCACCCCCCAGGCATCAGCATGTGCGCGTCCAAAGGAGTTGACAGAGGAGGGGCGGTGCTTGGAGCAGTGCATCCGAAGGGGCGCGCAGGCCGTGCTGGCAGCAGTGGCAATCTTGATTTGAATGCAGTCGAACACCTGTGCTCCACTCCCCTGTGTCCCACGCGTGCCTCCACACCTCCCGCTCCCCCCAGGCATCAGCATGTGAGCGCCCCAAGGAGTTGACAGAGGAGGGGCGGTGCTTGGAGCGGTGCATCCGAGGGGGCGCCCAGGCCGTGCTGGCTCTGGCAGCAGACCTGAATGCATGGGATGCCAAGATTGGCGATGGGGACTGCGGCAGCACGGTGAGAGGAATGGGAGAAACTTGTTTTAGGAGGGAAACAGGGAGGGCTCTATGCGAGTGTAATAGCCTTCAATGAAGCAGAGGGGGGTGCCATGCCGGCTCTGGCACCAGCCAGACCTGCCTGCTGCACTGCCCTCAGGCCGTGCTGGCACTGAGTTTTTGAGAATTTCAAAAAACTGTCTGCACCGCCCTCAGGCCGTGCTGGCAGTGAGTTTTTGAGAATTCTCAAAAACTGCCTGCACCGCCCTCAGGCCGTGCTGGCAGTGGCAGCCGACCTGAATGCATGGGATGCTAAGATTGGCGATGGGAACTGTGGCAGCACGGTGCGGTGGGAGGGGATTGAGTGAGGGGTCTTGCTGTTGACTCACCAGTAGTTGAATCATATGCACATGGGTCGAGTCAATGGTGCTGGCTCTGGCAGCTGACCTGAATGCATGGGATGCTAAGATTGGCGATGGGAATTGCGGCAGCACGGAATAAGGGAGAGGCTTCGGAGGGGGAACTTTGAGCTCTTGGGGAGGGGCCTTGTTGTTGAGTTGGCCCATCGCTCAACGTTGGCCTCCCTGCTTCCATTCCAGGTAGTCTGCTCTGATGGATCGAACCTCAAGGCTTAGTGGGAATATATGCTTATTGCTTATATACGCTTATCGTATATACGCACTCTTATATACGCTATACGCTGTAGGGACGGGTTTGGAAATACGTTTTTTCGGGCAGAAAAAAAACTTCCCGGGCAGGGTCAAAAAAAGGCGCGCGGGGGGGGGGGGGGTATGGGGGTGGGGTATGGGGCCTGAAGTTTCAGAGATTTTTTTTTTCCACATTACACATATACCACGGCCTACACAACTACTGTCATCACTACTATCATCACTATCATCACTTACCATCATCACTTACCATCACTACTATCATCACTACTCCATCAGGACCATCACTTCTCTCTAAGACAAGCTACGTACTACTACTCCTTAGGACTAGCCGCCCACAGCAAGCCACATTTGCCCCCTCTAGTTAGCGTACTCGTCTTCGAAGATGTCGTCTTCGCCTTCCTCCTCATCCTCTCCCTTCGTCTCGTCTTCCAGCCCATTGTATCCCGCCACTCGAGGGGCATTAGTCCCATTCCACTGCCACCACTTCACCATGCTATACTTTCCCTCTTTCACTAGCTTCCTCTGTGCCACGGCTTTCGGCATCCCAAAAGAACCCTTCATGTTAAGGAACGTCCTCAACCCGTCCCCCAGCTCAAGCAAGATGTCGCACGCGTCATCCCCCCCATCCCCGCGGCTCGCAAGGAACTCGGCCTGCTGGCTGATGAACGCCTTGAAGACTTTCGTGCACTCGGGATCAGCGCCGAAAATATCTTCCTCCTGATTCGCGGGGTTGAGGATGCGGCCAGCGACATGCATGGCGCATGCGAGGCTGCCGTCCCAGCGGTCTCTGAGGATGCGGCGGATCTTGTCCTTGTCCCCGTCGCTCAGCTGCTCCTCGTCCGCATCGAGTAAGCCCCCCACGTCCTCAGTCAAATGCAGCATCAAATTGTACAGCCTCCCCATCATCCCCACGGCATGCCCGTCCGTCTGCCTCATCACCTTAAAAGGCAAGCTTCAGCAGTGCGACGAAGAACTCGGCCGTCTTCCACCAGGCGGCATCATGGATCAGCGCACTGAACCCGTCACACGATTTCTTCCGGTCCCCTACCGCCTACTCCTTCCAACCCTCGCTCGTCACCATGTTGGTAAGGCCGCCGCGCATCGCACATAGTCGGGATATGGCTATGTAGTTGGTCCCGAATCGGGTTCCAGCCGGCTTCAGCGCCTGCAGAACCTTCCCCTCCACCAATTCCGGCTTCCGCAGGTACCCTCGGGTCCAGTGGTGGTTGCGGACGAAGCTAGATATCTCCCTTCCTTGTCGACCACCAGCTTAGCCCATCCCATCTTCCCGACATCTTCCATGAGAAGATCCAATACGTGAGTGGCGCACGGCACATCCTGAATGTGCGGCCACTCCTGTAAGAGTTGCTTCACCGCCACCGCATAGTTCGACCCCCCGTCCATGCAGAACGCAACAACGTTTTCTGGACCCACTTCCTCCACCACGGGCCTAAGAATCCCCGCCACGTATTCTCCGGTTTCCTCTCCATGTTGCAGTCAATACAGTCGGTGAAGACGGCGCCAGAATCGTTTACGAGAAGCACGTTGGCCTGCGGCCTGCCGTTGCGGTCTGTCATCATGTTGGACGAAACCGTCACGCCCGTCCTCTTCCAGCTCGCCTTAATGCCCACCAAACCCTGCTCGATTCCGTTGCGACACGAGAGAAGGCCAGCACCGCCGATGTATCTCCTCTTGGGAGGGACGTAGTCGATGCCGACGCGCTTGACGAGGTTCAATGCATTGACCATCAGAGGATGGTCAATGTGGCGCTCGGGGATATGGAGGGCGGCCCAAGCAAGCGCAAGTGCCTCGTCCGCTTCTCTCTTTCTTGCGCATCGGATGGCAGCACCAGTGTATACGTTGCTGCAGAACTTGCACTCGTACTGCTGAGCTTTTCCCTCGACCCTCTTGATGATGCGGAAGTGCTTGAAGACGGCATGGTCAACGTCGGGGAGATACTCCCGTGCCTCGGTTAGAAGAGTTTGCGAACTGCCAACGGTGTTAACTGACGGTGGCGTTAGAGGAGAGGTAGTAGTCGTCGACATAGGCACCATGCGCTAGGGAATGCCTAGTGCTCTGCTGGTAGCGAGAGAAGACCTAATGAGTTGGATGTTGGGGGTGTGCTTGTTTTATGGCGAGTTGATTGTGGGAGTGGGAAGATGGCCAACAAAAATTGGAGAGGTGTTGGTTGCGAAGGGTTTGAATGCGGTACTGATAGTGAACACCAAAATGTGAGGGAACGTGCAGGCGCGACTCGACGAACGTGACTTTCCATTTGCGACACGAACTTTCAACCCACGTCAACGCTAGCACACAGCGCGGGCGTGCCATCTGACCGCGCCAATGTCTTCGTCGTGCAATTCCGAAGCGAACCGTATAGGTTGAAATTTTCTGGCCGGGCTGCCCCAAAAAAAAATGGTGAGCGTATAGCGTATTCGATAGCGTTTAGCGTTTTGCGTATACACGCTAGCGTATACACGCTAAACGCAAACAGGTTTTTGCGTTTATTCCCACTTAGCCTCAAGGCAGCCCCACATGCCCTCTTCTACCTCTTCTTCTCACGCGCTCATTGCTGCCAGGCCAGGCTGCGTTGGTTTGACTTTTGAGACTTCTCAAAACTCAAACCAACATATCTGATGGATCGAACCTCAAGGCAGCCCCACATGCCCTCTTCTACCTCTTCTTCTCACGCGCGCATTGCTGCCAGACCAGGCTGTGTTGGTTTGACTTTTGAGAATTCTCAAAACTCAAACCAACATATCTGATGGATCGAACCTCAAGGCAGCCCCACATGCCCTCTTCAACCTCTTCTTCTCATGCGCTCATTGCTGCCAGGCCAGGCTGGCACCTACCTTCCACATCCTCGCTTGCTCACCCCATCCACCTTTCCCCCACCCCTTCCCCTCCTATCTCCACCCCACCTTGCCTGTCCCATCCCATCCCCCCCTTGCGTTCAGATGAGCCGTGGGGCCAAGGCAGTTCTTGAAGCTCTCGCCTCAAGGTCTGTACGCCTGTCTCCCCACGCCGCCTTTGTTCCTTCTCTGCCTTTGCCTTGTCTCACTCACGCCGCCTTTGCTCGTCCTCTCTCCCCTTCTCTGTCGCCCTTCACCCTTCTGTCTTCCTACCCACTAACGGACCTCCTGGCTCCTGCCCCCCCACTCTGCAACCCCGACTCCCTGTCCTCTTTTGTCCTCCTCATTTGTTCCCTCCCCCTCCCCTTGCGCCCCAGATACCCCCTAAATGATGCACCAGCGACAATTAGGGAGATGGGCGCGAGTGTGCGGTGCTCCATGGGAGGGACGAGTGGAGTGATGTGAGTGTGCGAGGGTGTGGTGTGAAGGAGGGGAGGTATTTGAATGTGGTTGCTTGTGCTGCCATGTCCCGGTGACAGTGAGGGACATATGCGCGAGTGTGCGCTGCTCCATGGGAGGGACGAGTGGAGTGATGTGAGTGTGTGTGGTGTGTGTGAGGCTGGTGGGAGGAGAAAAAGAGGTGTGCTTCTGGCATGACTTGGGGACGAGTGGGTTGATGTGAGAGAAGAGAGGGAGATCTGCGCGAGGGTGTGGTGCTCCATGGGGGGAACAAGCGGAGTGATGTGAGTAGCGGGGGGGGTGGGGGAAAAATGTGCTGGCACTGCTTGCTTGCACTGCCATGTGCTGGCACTGCTTGCTTGCACTGCCATGTGCTGGTGACAGTGAGGGAGATGGGCGCAAGGTGTGCTGCTCCAAGGGGGGAACAAGCGGAGTGATGTGAGTGGGAAGGGAAAGGGGTGGGAAGGGAAAGGGGAAAGGGGGTGAAGGGAGGGTGGGGATGTGACGGTTGTTATTTGCCCTCTTTCGATCACTGTTTGCCCTCTGCTTGCCTACTGCTTGTCCTACCATGCGAATGATGAAAGAACTTGTTCAAGAGTTGCACAAATCATCTACTAACTGTGCGGCTTTGCCCTTCTTTGTTCCACTCCTCTTTCTACACGACCTGTTTCCTACCCTCTCCGGCCCTACCCTGCTCACTTCTCTGGCTCACTCCTCCTGCTCACTCCTGCCCACCCCTGCCCACCCATACCCACCCATGCCCACTCCTCAATCTCTTGCCTGTGCACATCTCCCATACAGATACGACATCTTCTGTCGCTCTGCATACGTGAAGCTGAGGGAGCTCGCAGGCCCAGCGATGCACTTGCAGGCACTCGTTCACCCTTCCTACCCACACCTTCCCACACCTGTCTATCTTGCCTGTGCGCATCTCCCATACAGATACGACATCTTCTGTCGCTCTGCATACGTGAAGCTGAGGGAGCTCGCAGGGTCAGCAGCACAGCCCACCCCTGCCCACTGTTCGTCCTCTCCCTCCCTCCTCTCCCTCCCCTTTCTCCTCTCGCACCTGAACCCTTCAATTTCTCCTCTTCTCAGCTTCATGTATGCAGGGCGATTGGTCTGAACCCTTTCCAGCTTCATGTATGCAGGGCGATTGGTCTGAACCCTTTCCAGCTTCATGTATGCAGGGCGATTGGTCTGAACCCTTTCCAGCTTCATGTATGCAGGGCGATTGGTCTGAACCCTTTCCAGCTTCATGTATGCAGGGCGATTGGTCTGAACCCTTTCCAGCTTCATGTATGCAGGGCGATTGGTCCGAACCCTTTCCAGCTTCATGTATGCAGGGCGATTGGTCTGAACCCTTTCCAGCGTCATGTATGCAGGGCGATTGGTCTGAACCCTTTCCAGTGTCATGTATGCAGGGCCGGTCTTCTTGTCCAAAACCAGCAATCCAACCCCTTTGAGTCTTCGAGTCCCCTTTGAATCTCCTCTATCAGAACGCATCTTCAGGCGCCCTCCACTCAAATGCCATCCATCAATCTATCCTTCAGTTTATTCCGCTTCAGTTATTCTCCCAATTTCTCCTCCCTTCTTCCCCCCTCTGCCTCTCTTCCCCTGCCTCCCTATCATCACCAGGGGCGGCTGCATTTGAGGCGGCGGTGGCAGCGGTGAGTCTGTACGGCGGCACTCAAGCCGGCGACCGCACCATGCTGGATGCTCTGCTGCCACGCTCTTGCGCAGCATCCAGACATGCCGGGAGATCTGACACACGTCTCAACTTCTTCTCTTCCCTGCCTTCCCGAACCCTCTCCTCCTTCCCTCCCTGCTTCCCCAACCCCCTACCCACCCCCACCCCTGTATCTACATCCACCCTATCACCAGGGGCGGCTGCATTTGAGGCGGCGGTGGCAGCGGTGAGTCTGTACGGCGGTGCTCAAGCGGGCTACCGCACCATGCTGGATGCTCTGCTGCCCGCCGCTGCCTCTCTCTCTCGCAGCATCACAGCAGGGGAGTCAGCAGCGGCCGCGCTGGCTGCTGCTGCTCAGGCTGCTGCTGCCGGAGCCGAATCAACCAAGTCAATGCCAGCTCTGGTGAGTCAACCAAGTCGATGCTAGCTCTTGTCTAATGTCATTTTTCTTTCGTCACTATAGATTAGCAGCTCCACCAACGTGTGGGAAATGGTGTTGGCACGGCATTGCTGCCCTGACCTAAGAAATCAATCTTATTGTGCAACCCATTATCCATGCACGGCATGATTGAATGACGAATCATTGAATTGAACAATCTGTGAATCTTTAAACACTGTTATTCAATCAACACTGCATGGTTATTGAATCCATCCATATGGTTCTCTTCTTCAGGCTGGCAGGTCCAGTTATGTACCAGCAGAGGTGTTGGCATCAGTGCCTGATCCCGGAGCCATGGCTGTAGCGGCATGGCTGCAAGGTGCCGCTACAGCCATGCAACCACCGCCGCCGCCTGTAGTGGAGTCCGTAGCAGAGCCTGCAGCGGCAGCAGCGGCAGCACCATCAGCACCACAAGAACAGTTGTAGCCTGAACCTCTTCGCAATGGCGCACCACGCGTTTGCTCTAGGCTAGAGCGAGTCGTCCATTAGTCAGCAGAAATATATGGCTGGAAGCATATTTTGTTTCCACGTTCAATAAAGATGTGATGCAAGCTTGCCCACACGTACCTGCAATTGGCAGGTTATTCATTGATGAGTAGGTGACTGAGAAACACATTAATCTTATGGTATTACAAAATAATTGTATTCAGAACAGCATTGCGTAATATTGGCAGGAAAAGTTTGGCAGGCGCAGTTATCATGTTTTTGCGAATTAGCTTATGCGAAAGCATTGTGCGCATTCGCAAACCTCCGAACCTCCATCTTCGTCAGCCCCGAACCCACTCTCCAACCAATGATTAGTGTGTGAGCGACAATCCCGAAGCTCAAGGGAAGTGCCTCCGCCGCATTTAATATCTAGCTTAACGTTCCGGATCGTTTGTTACCGCTTTGAAACTCGCTAATCGAGCTAGCCTCAGCGCGCCCCACAGGCAGTGAGGGCCGTTGGGGAAACCGTGCTGGCGGTTGACTCGGAAGCTTAAGTGAGAAGCAGGGCTCACGCTAGCAGGGTGCACATCCGGAACAGGGCTGTCGTTTCGTTTTGGCCCCCCCGGACAAATCAGGGGGCCCGGCATGTACGACCCTGTATTTAGCAGGGTCGGGGCGAATCTCGGCCCTTTAGGCTTCAGGGCTGAAATTTATTCCTCCCTGTAAATCAGGTTTGCCGCGGAAAATTCTGCAGCCTCAGTTCTACCACAAAGCTGACAGCTGCACTCCGCTAGTACCGTCACCCCCCGGATATACCCCCATGGGGGGCAATAATAAAACAGGTTTTTTCAAGGGGGTGGGCTTATAATCGAGTAAATTTATAAGCGCCGGCGTTTATAAAATGACATTCATATTTTTTATATTTTTGAACACCAAACTGTAGGTCTCGTGCTTGCCCTTTCAATCGAGTCGAAGTTACATGGGGTCGTCTGTGAAATTCTCGCGCGCGCTGGGAGACACACCCAATCTGACTCACATCCAGCTCCTGGCAGCTCCTGACAGCTCCTGCTGACTGGACCCGCATCCAGTGCAGGGTCCGAATGTGAAGGGAACCGAATGTGCAACATATCTGCCTGCTAAAGTAAAAATCATTACAACGTTTTGTACACATTTCAAATTTTAAAGTTTACGTGCGCTTATAATAAAACTAGTTTTTTCAGGGGGTGCGCTTATAATCGAGGAGGGGATATAAGCGCCATATGCCAATTAGAAGCGCCAGGCGCTTATCCTAGGGTGGCGCTTATATCCGGGGGGTGACGGTATCAAATTAGCTAGTTAGCAATAAAAAAAACTAGTTAGCGTCATTCACTACGCACGCGTAACAGACTTCCTCCTCTTCCAACTCTTAGCAAAGATCTGAGATGTGTTTTGCTGCTTGCTATTCCCATTCAGGCCTGAGGGTGCACAACATGACGGGGATCTGAGATGTGTTTTGCTGCTACATGTTGGTTCATGCTACTGTCTGTGTGTCATGGGATGGGAGCGGGTTGTAATTGGTACAAGTACCAGTTGTTGGTTGAGTTGAATCTGTGGTCCAGCCACGCAACTCCAAATTTGACAGGCTTGAATGCAATCAAAATAGAAACGGGGGGAGGGGGAATGGAGGAGTTTGGGGGGGGGGAGGGGGGGGGGGAGGAGTGGGAGGGAGTTCGAAAGACTTGTTCCAGGGCTCGCCTAAAATCTACCCTTAACACTCCAGACCTAAGGCCGAAATCAGCCCTGTAATGAATCAGGGCCACAATTTTCTCAACCCATCAATTTCAGTTTTCAAGGGAAACCCAGCCCTGGAATTCAAGGTCCAGCAGGGCAAACGCCCTGCAAGCGACAGGCCTGATCCGGAATTTCCTCAACATTCCGGATGTTTTTGTCCGAGATCCGGATTTTGAGGGGAATGACTTCCAGATATTCCAGACATTCAAAGGGTATTTCTAGAAAAGTCCGGACGCTTAAGTGTGTTTCCCGAAAACCTTCGTGCCGGATTTGATAGGTCGCGTCCCTGGAGGATTAACATAACAGTGCAGTGCAAAACAAAAATCTGCAACTTAACATTACTCGTGGTTTTCGCACAAGTCTCATTATGAGGGATGTTTAGCCCTGTTTGAGTGTGAGATCTTTCAGGATGGATGAGGTGGCCCTGAGTGGATGGAAGTGCTTTCTTAGAGGACTTTTTCTTCACTTTACCTGTGTTCGTCACTTGTACTTCACAGCACTGACGAGTCGATAGACCGGAGGCTAGTTCTTAAAAACACACTGACTCAAGGTACCGCTTGTTGGAATCCGGCTCGGAAAGGTTAAAATTTCTACGGATCCGAATTTTTACGTACGTTTACGTGGGGGCCCCGGAGGCATCCGGCCGGATCTTCAAAAACGAAAAATTGGCCCTGGTGAGAAGGTATGGAAGCCGGGACAGGAGGGAATGGATGGATGTTCTGTCTCATAAACCAGATGAATGGGATGGGATGGGATGCTGTAGGGTGCTGTGGGACAGCGTAGGGTGCTTGTACTAGTCGCAGCCTCAGGGTTGTGGTGACGCAAGGGCCTGTACTGCACCAGCAATAGGCTCCCTCCCGTCACGTGCTGCACGGCATGCTTCTTGTCGAAGCCTCAGGCGTTCCTTCCAATCCCAACGATCTTTCTGTGAGATGTGCAGGAGCCGATTTATTTTTGTAACCAACACTGCACATCTGGTTGGTTACGGTCAGTTCGCGAAATAGATTTTGTCCAAATGACTCGGTCTAGACTGATAGCCTCACCTCTGGAGGTTGTTTGCTTCAGTGAATGACATTTTCCATCTAAAAAAAGTCGTGGACGTTGTACAATATTGCAACAGCCTTCCAGGAATGCCAGTTTACTACGTGCCTAGGGTTCAGCTTGAGGGACTCAAGGGTCTGGCGATAGACTAGGCGATAGCGTCGAGCAAGGGGTACCCTAGTACTAGCGCGAGGGCAGAATCCACTATTTTCCCGCCACATGTGCCCTTGCTGAGTCAACGCGGTGTTGAATCATGTAACGTGGCCACGTCGAATGTCTGCCTTGGCCTCAGGAGGATCGCCGCTCTGACTTGCAACCCTGATTTTGTGAGGGCGTATTTCTAGCTTCGGGTCATCCATTGTTTGTGTCATCCGAAATTGTGGGAGCCAATCAAAAAGCCCGCGGTTCGATATTTGATTTTTTCGATTGGGTCCTTCAATTTCGTATGACATGAAGGCGGGATGACCAGTATATAAGAATACGCCTTAGATTGGTTGAAAATGCATGCACTGTACGCACGAGTGTACAGCAAGCCCATCGACTGTAGACCGTTCAACACACGAACGGCGACTGCGAGTGAGAAGAGGGCAGGCGGAGGAGGATGTGGAGGAGGAGGATGAGGAGGAGGAGAAGGACGACCACGAGCGCCCTTTTTCCAACAGAAAGCGCTTGGATCGTTAGAAAGCGTTCCGAGTTGTTCGCTTGTCGGATCGGACCATATCGTACTGTCGGACAGCTCACCTACGTGAAGTGCCTCCTATCACGTGGAGTGCTGACGTGAAGTGCAGTGCAGACTTTTGAGACCTGTCGCAGAATTCTATTTTGAGACGTCTCGACTCGAATGAAACCCTCTTGCGACGCCTCAACGACCTCTCGTGCTGTCCGGTCGACGGTCGAATGAAACCCTATGACACTCAGCGACAGTGTTCGATTTGACGCGGAGGTCGATTTTTGAGTCGAACAAAAAAAAATATAAAATAGGCGAAATTGAGGGCTTCCTTTCACGTGAAGCGCGAATCGCAGCGATGATCCTGTGGATAAAAGCAACGCCATGCCAGCTATCGGAAAGGATACAGCCTCCCTGACAGGTCATCCGTTCGCCACTTCTTCATCTCCAAGTTCAACTTGAACCGGATCTCAACGCTATTTGATCCAGCCCTGGATGGTACTGCAGTAGACGCCATGATTGGTGCATCCACGGACAGCTCCGAGCTGAGTCAGCTGCCTTGAAGAGCTTGTCAGGCGCCTCGAAAGGGATCTAGTGATCTCAACGGGATTGGGATTGCCAGCCTTGGGATGGTACCGTCATGGATGGGGAATGCCGCTCATTTGAGCATCACTCCCCACCCCACCCTGATCGCAACACCATGACAGGGTGATGCTAGCTCTGGGACGCACGCCATTGGTGCATCCACGGATAGGGATACAGCTCAGATGAGCGTCGTTACGTCACTCTCTGACCACTACTCTCCCCACCCCACCCCGATCTCAACACCATCACAGGGTGATGCTAGCTAAGGGACGCACGCCATTGCCATTGGTCGTCGCCTTCTGACCATCACGTGGAGCGAGAGAATGAGGTTGTGCTTTCCAGGCTCAAAAGCCAAGGGTCCTGCGCTCTAGACTAGATTCAAAAGCGCCGCCATTCCAGGAATGCCGCACCATGTCGCGCGCACTGCTATGGCCTGTTGCTAATCGCCTGTTGCTAATCTCCTGTTGCCATGCTCCTGTTGCCAGTCTCTGGGTAGTAGGCAGCTTCTGGTGGCTTGTGCGCGCCTCTGGTAGCCCCTAGCTGTGCTCGTCTTCTCCCATTTCTCTCACACTGTTTCTGTACTCAACACTGCTTTCACATATCTCTGTCTGATCCGCCTAGATTCGAGGAAACTTGGCCTGTTCTCTCGTATCTTAGAGTTGGGGGATGGATAGATCAATCAAGGGGCGCCTTCACGCACGAGCGGCGAGTGGCTTGAAACGGAGGTTTGTAAGCAGTCCCTCATGTTGCTCCTAGTAGTACCAAGGATGAACGCGAATCTTCCAACGAAGTTCCTATCATTTCCCAGGCCTCCCTTCCCGAGTCCTTCGCCTCAAGTCTTGAGCATCGCCGCTATCCCGCCCGGAGTTTGGATAAGGCTCGAGCAGTTCTCGAATTCGAACCAGTTTTGATAATCCGTGCTCTCCTTGGCTGATTT